TTACCCCCAATCCCCCAGATTGACGTTCCACCTCGGCTGGAGGATTGACTTGAGTGGCAAGAAGTTAACTTTTTGAATCAACTTTTGGTAAATGCCATCCACAATAAGATATGGTAGATCGTCCGTCACAAATTCACAATTAGGCCAACTACACCTACCAAATGCACAGTTGGTTGGGGCCAAAAGAAGAAAATTTAGACAACATAGTCAATGCTATTCCTTTTTACAACACAAGCCAACCATTAAAGTATATTTTATGTTTCAAAAATAATATCAATCACGACATTAATATTGTCATATTAATAGTACCTCAGTTTTCCTAAGATCGAGACAAAAAAAACAGTAGTGTGATTTAAAAAAAAATGTGATTGATAATGAATTGATAAAATGAGAATAAAGTAAGAATAAATCAGAGTCTTACGAATATTACCAAATATGGTATGAAAAAAATGTCAAAGAAAAAAAGAAACAATTATAATGAGATGGAGGAAGTAGATGATAATGTCAATGTATGATAGTAAAGTATGATTTCATGATGGCTATATTTTATCCATAGGTCGAGTATTATACATAATTGAACTTTATATAAGTTCACATTTTGTGAGATTATAAACCATCACATTTGAGGCTCATATCAATCAAGGATGTTGACGTTATCTTAACTTAATTGCATTTTTCACATAGTTATAAGTTTATCGTTGTTGTTTATATATGTTTTTCTATTTTTTATCAACATAAATAATTGGTTTAAGAAGTTTGTCAATTTTTTACTTTAATAAGTATAACATGAATAGAACATTATGCTATTTTGTACTTCGTACTATTCCTCCAAATGTATATGATAAATATATACTCCCTCCAGTCTTAAATAAACTTCACACTTTCTTTTTTGGATAGACCAAAATAAACTTCACACTTCTTCTTCCTTCCTTATTTGGCAAATTATCTACATCAAAACAGTGCAAAACAGTTTCAAACAGTGTCACAACAGTGTACTCTACAGTAAAGTCAAATTTATTTTCTTAATTTGTGTGAAGTAAAAGTGCGAAATTTATTTAGGATCGGAGGAAGTACTAAAGAAATAATAACAATATATTCGTCACATAATTAAGCTAGAACATATGCTATACTCCCTCCGTCCCTGTTTTTTCTCCCATTTCGGCCGGGCACACTAATTAAGATAGTGGGTTTTGTGTGGTGGAGAGTTGTGCAGAGGAGAGAGAAATGTGTAAGAATGTGTAAGAATGATTGTGAACCACAAATTCTTTGTCAAAAAGGGAAGGAGGAGATAATATTGGGACGGACCGAAAAGGAAAGTTTGAAGATAATTCAGGGACGGAGGGAGTAAATACTAACATTGGCGTGATACGTTTTAATCAAATGAATTATTGATAGTTTGCTTGGATCCAGATTCTCTACACTTTGACGGTCAGATGGTGTGCGTGACGATGATAGCTACATGATTCAACTTTGACAACCCCACGGGCGGAGCCAAGGGAGGAGTCGGGGTGGTCAGCCAACCCCCTCCCCAAAGTTTAAAGGTGTAAAGCTCTGAAATACTTATGATTTGATATATTATGATTCGTGTAATTTAATATGAATACAAATTTATGGTTTCCAGAAAATCAACATTTTCTAAACGTAAAATGAGTTATTTTTTATGCATAATATTGATTAAATTCTCAATATTTTTTAAAATAATGTATAACTCATTCATTACTTACGTGACACGATTCAAAGATAGAGCAAAAACAACGTATCGATTGCTACGAGTGTCTACTCAATAACCGATTCATTTCTTATAGGAAATCCTGATATTAAGTCGTTCGATATAGAAACTATAGAGTAGGGGTGGGAATTTTTTCCCGAATCCCGACTCCCGATCCCGATCCCGACAATACCGATCCCGAGTCGTCAGGAATTTTTCCCGATCCCGACTAAGTCAGGACGAGACCGGGATTTCTTTTTGAAAAAAGTCGGGATCGAGAAAATCCTGACATCCCGACACTATATATATACATATATATAATTATATATGAATATATATAAAAATCAATATACATTTACAAAAAATGAATATGTATCGAAGTATTAGCATATCATTTTTACTTACTTATTCCCTACATAGATTAATCTTTTATATTACAATATCAAACTTCTAAAACTATTCGGCATTCGTCCCAAACTGAATATTATGGATCCTAACTAAATAGAGATTATTCTTGATCCCGACAATCTAAATCACAACAATAGTACGATTTTTGCGGTTTTGATGAACTCTTTAAAAAACCATGATTGAGACTATAATTTCTTTCTTTAGTAAATAATCATAATATGTATATATACATTATATTCATGGGTCACAAAGTTTCTCAATGAGTCTACTTAGTTTTGAATTTTAAAATAATATACGTTACACATCCTTCTTTTAGTGAATTTTTATATAATTTTTGAAGTAAGTTTCACTAAGCCTTGATAGCTTTTTCAAAAATTATACTATTAATTAATTGAAGTTATAAATAAAAATTATTCTAAAAGTACATACTACTATGAATTTGAGATGATAATTATAACTATAAATTTTATAAGTGGATGATGATAATATGGTATACTAATGACCAAAGAATAATATTGAAACCACTAAATATCAAAGTTAGTGTTTAACTAGAGAAATTACTCCGTACATAATTTCATGTTTGATACATCATTATCGGGATTAAGCGGGATTCCCGATCGGGAACCCGACTTAATCGGGATTTTAATGTCGGGATCCCGACTTAATCGGGACGGGATACGAGAACCTCTTGTATTTTGAATCGGGATCGGGACGACCCTACTATAGAGTTCCAGAATAAGACAAATGATCTCATTTGAGGCAATCGCCGGTGCTAGAACCCACAGACTAAACCCGTATAAAACAAGTTTATAAATATATATAACTTATATATCAAACCGATAACTCTATTAGTCTCCTTGTAACTACTCAACCAAATACTTAGCCAAATCTTAAAATTTGGATCATAATTTTGATTAGCATAATATTATGAATGTTAAAAAATTTACTTTTATGAGAGTAAGTTTAACAAAAGAACATTTTCATACCATTTTTATATTATAAATAATTTGCAAACAAGTACCCAACTTATTATAAATAACTAGTTTTTGAAGAAAACAAAAACAAGTACCCAACTTATTATAAATAACTAATTTTTTGTTGTACACTAATTTTGTTATTTTCTCTTTTAAATAAAGAAATTGTGACCAGTTGATTCTCACTCCTCTACATACACAAAGATTTTATTTCATAAATATTTGTACCGGTCAAACTTGGCAAAATTTTAAGGGACATAAGGAATACATTTTATTGGTTCAACTCATACGCTTCATTATTTAAGTGAGGATGTATCACAAGTTTTAAAGGGAGAGGAGAAGGTTAAAGAAAGTTTATCAAATACTCACCCTGTCCCATAATTTTTTTTTGACTTTCTTGTTTGGATTGTTCCAAAAAGTTCTTTTTACTTGCTACAAATGAAAAGTTTCACCTCCTAAAAACCTCTTTTACCCTCTGTTAAAAGTTTACCCTCCCACTTCCCTATTTGTTCTTGCCCTATTGCATCTTACATTCTTACCCTAGCGACCTGTCCCCCCCTCTTTCATAGTTCCGACCTCCTTCACTCTTTCATTGTTGTACAGAGTAAAATTATCTCCTTCTCTGATTTGAAATCCACTTTAAACTTAGCTCCTTCGTGGGTCTAATTGTCTCTCCTTTCTCAAATTCCAAATCCCTAAATCTGACTTCCATGGATGCAAAATCAAGCACTCTATCCTTTTATCAAGATCCGATGGAATACAACCACGGCATGAAGGGGCTTGTGGTTCCGGACAGTGAAAAGGAGTCGAATGAGGAAGACGATGAAGGTTCGATGGAGCTTGTGGTTCCGGACAACGAAGAAGGGTTGGACGAGAAACACCATGAACGTCCGATGGTCACTCTAACTTACCTCTTCCCAACGTACTGTTCGGTCGTGTTCGGTCAAGATTGGGGTTGGGGGAAGGATGGGGTGTCATCCTCTTTTTGATATTGAACTCTCCTTGGAACGTGTATTCATAGAACGTAAAAGGGGAGACAACTTTTGGAGGGACTATTCATAGAATGTCTATATAATTTTCCAAAACACATCAGCATTGCTTTTTTTGTGCTCGGCAGTAAAATTCCTTTACCCCATCCTTTTGCACCACCACTTTTATGCATAGGGGAGGGGGTATATATGGAAAGTTAATGCAACACATCAGCCAAATAGATGCAAGTATCTATTTTCCACGGAGGGAGTAATTTTTAGAGGGAGTGATTTAGAGGGCTTTTGTAACTTTCCTAGTTCCATTTTTGTTGTCGACCTCAATTTGGAAATTTCGAAGGATAAAAAATTAAATAATAATTTTGACTCAATTTAAGATGAATATAAGTTCAACCATCTACATTTCTTAGGATGTTTTATTTGAGCTGTTTTACGTGAAATACCAGACCAACCAGACTTAAACAAATCAGATCAGACTTGACCAAATTTAAACAGACCAAATAAGAATTAAACAGACCAAATCAAATTTAAATAGACCAAACCAGACTTTAATTTCGTAATTATAAAATACTCAGATCATACGAGCCCAGTTCAGACCAGACTTAAACGGAAAGTTCAAGTAAAATGATCCTTAAACGATTTTAGTTATAATTATCATAGCCCGTATCTTTTCAAATTCATCCATAGTACGTAGTAATTCTCTAGCAAATACTCCGTAAATGTTTCTTTCCCTTCACCTCTCTTTCTAACTTTCATCTCCTTCTCCTCTCATAGCTATCATTATTCATTACGCAATGGATAAACATAGCCTTCCTCATAAATGAGGTGAGGTGAGGGGGGTGGAAGGGTACATCCAATTTGCCATTCCCCAGAAAATAAGTTGAATGAAGACCGAATTTGACCAATAAATATAGTAAGCCAAGAGGCTGAGACACATAAATTAGGTATGAATTCTTATACAACAACATCCAAGCCTTAATACCAAAAGATATTGGGCTAGACTAATACATGATATCACGACCAAAAAGAAAAGAAGGAATAAAGATAAAAAGATAAGCTATTATGAAAAGATAATATAAAAAAGATGAATATATATAAAAATGATAAAATAAAAAGGCTGCAAATAATGCATATATATATATATATATAAGGATAAAAAATACTAGAAAAAAAAAGATGAGGTATGCATTCTTATAAGTAGTATAAAATCAATACACTTCCGTTTCCAACTGAACAGAGAATTACGGTGAACGTACCGATCACTACATACCCTCACATTCCCAACCAGTGGGTGGCATTTTCGGCCGGGAAAACAGAAATCACAATTCATAAACCTGTTTTCCGGTGAACTTGACCTCAATAGGACTGACATTCTTACCGATCGACCTCATGTTTTGCCCCACTCCTTGGCGGCCGGGATTAACCTTCTCCGGGTAAACTCCGTCCTTCGGATGCAAGTACTGGACCTCCCCGTTGGGGAAAAGCCTATAAATTTGGTAATTGATCTTGTACTTGGATCTCAATCGAGTACCTAGAGCCAGGCACTGCTCCTTCCTGGCTAATTTCAGCAGATTCGGGCCTTCCCTCATGGTCGCGGCACCGCCGGTCGGCATCTCAAACACCTGTTCTTTGGGGGAGCTCCAGGTGATGACGTAGAACTCCTCAACCTGAGCCTTGCGGAGGAGGCCGCCGGTGCTGCCTCCGAAGATCGGGGACAGGGTGTTCGGGTCGAGAGCCGGAGGAGTAAAACCTACCGGCGCCTCCTTGGTCGGCGCCTCCTTGGCCGGCGCCTTTGTTTTTCCATCCGCCATGGATCGGATGGGGCGGCACAGGGTCCCGGACTTGGTCAGAGCTGGTGATGGGAGGGAGAAGGAGAAAAGAGACTGCTTCCAAGGAGCCGCAACGCGATCGGTGGCGGCGGAGAGAGTTGTGGTGAAGAGAGACGCATGGGCTGCCATGTGTAAGGAAGCAGTGAGTTGTGAAATGATGAAAGAGAGAAGAAGATGGTGAGATGATAAGAAAATGGTGGGTTAGATTGGTTGTTTATGAGGTATGGATTTTTTTGGATAAGGTATTGCGGTTTAGAGCCTCTGATTTCGATACGCACTACACTGACGTGTGATCGAGCCCGTTTGATTTTGTGATCCTCCAATCTCTACGATCTTATAAGAGTGAATGAGAGTAAGGGTTGTTTGGGTATATGAAATGTGTTTGTGGTACGGTACAACTAGATTAAATTGTACATTCATTTTAAAGCATTGTACTTCTTAAATTATATTCTAATTTTTCTAATTTTCTTCCGTTAGTCTTCACCTCTTTAAACTTCCGTTAACTTTTCATTTCTCCTTTGTTGCTAACATCTTCAATTGGGTTCGAATAGAGCTAATTTTACCCAATTGAATTGTTTGCTTTAATTTCTTATTATTACCCTTTTTCCCCTTTTTCTTTTTATTCACCCTTCCCCCAATCAGACGCTGGTTATAGATCCTCGGAATTATGGAATTTCGACCATCGGCGGAAATCAGATTATAATAGGATCTGTTAGCTTGTAAAACAGAAGTCTTGACCTTCGAAGTCCTTGGCTTGTTTATCCGGAGTTAAACCTACATTCATTTTATAAAATTCCACCAATATATATACTACATATGTCCCAAATTAATTTGCAAATTTGAATTTTTTTTATCGAACAATTTCATTTCATTCACTTAATTAGGATGCTAATTTTTAATTATATTCTAATTTGGAGTTAGCAACTTTGAAGATATTTTAATGTAGTTTCCGAATATGTAAATTTTAATTATTAAAAATTCAGTTAATTAGCAATAGAGAGGATTTAACTTTAACAGTGATTGACCAAAAACTATTGACTTTGCAAATCAATTTGGAACGGATGTTTACAACAATTCTCTTACAGTAAAAAATGTGAAACCAGACATGCTATTTGAAATAATGTAGGGATTCATATGTTTTGTATGTTTGTTAGTCAATTAGAATTATGTGGGGACAAACTTTTTCTCACAACCCAGTAAATAGTCTTATATGGTTACTAAGCAAGTCTGTTAGAATGCAAGTTTGAAAATTTAGGATTTAATTAATAAAGCGGCAGAACTAATGCACAGATAACTTTCCCTCGGTTTTGTTATCAATTCACTGCTAAAATTAATATTTAACTGCACCAATTTAACTACACCTACTAGAATAGTAATATCACTGATGGTACTAATAATAATATTAAAAATAACAACAATAATAGTTTTTTAAAATATTTGGTCACCCCCTCCTGAATCACCGTTGTTCCAAGAAGTTGAGATCACATGGACTGATTTCTTTCCGGTGGCTGGTAGAAGCGAAATAAATTCTACACTTGGCTTCTTACCGGTGGATGGACAAATCGGGATGTTTAATACGAAGTAGTTTGTTTGAGAATTATATATTGTGATCGTAGCAGGAACCGTCGACCTAAATGTAGAGTATTTCTTTGCGGGATTAGCGATTCAGCTTTTTCAATTTGAATCGTCTGTTTATATGTCTCACCTCATTGTAACTTTGAGTTATATGATTGTAGTTGTTATTGGGCATTTTCCCGATCGCGCAACGCGCGTCACGTAACTAGTAATTTTATAAAAAAAATGTGTGTATAACTATATATCTACTTTCGTAGTCATCCCTATTTTGTTTAAGAACATAGTATAATTTTATCTGCGTACACGGACAAAATAAGAGAGTGGGTATAAATATGTGTACAAAAGTGGATAGAAGGTCTCATAATTTCAACTCTCAATTAGGTAATAAATTTCTAGAAATACTTTCCTGGTAGTTAAATTTCTATAACTACTTCTCACTCTTTTAATTATAATTTTTCATAAATCAACCGAACTGAATGAATAAATGAAGTTGTTTCAGTCAAAATTTCACAAATTTCAAGAGAATCACCAATTTAGCTAATTTCAATTTACGATAATTATTATAGATTATATTTTAATTTATACTTCATATTTTACCATTAATTTATGTTTTAATTGTTTAATTGCAATAGTTTAATTAATTTATACGGAAAATGTATGATATCGTAGAATTTGCATTATCCAAATGACAAATTTTATGATAACCTATTGTAACTTGTGCATATATACCAAATGAGTATTGAAATATGTTTAAATATATTTTTAGTTCCTACAAATATGATTCACTTGGTTTTATTTTTTTTACAAATATTTCATCCATGTAATATGTATTTTTTGTTTTTAATCCATCTATAGGTCTTAAATCACTCTATTTATCTGTCAAAAAAATCATTGTATTAGAGAAAAAATATTAATGTCAGAGTTAAAACAATATAAAACTAATTATTCACATTTGTAAAATGAGTCTAAAAGCTTTCTAAATATTAAATTAAATACATTTGAATAACATGACAAAATATTATAGAGAACCTATTAGTTAGGTTTAAAGTAATATATCATGTATGAATTTTTTTTATTTAATCTGATCTAATCTTTCTATTGTTCAAGTATACATTTTTAGGATCTGATCTGAATAAAATTAAAATAAGGGATAAAAGATAAGGGGTGACCAATAAACTGCCCCATTGCCCTAAACACATTTATATTTTATACGAAGTATACAATAGAACAATACTACTACGTACTCCGTATAACATACCAGTATATGATTCGCATCACATCCCAAAGGGGATTGCTATGCGCACCCCTCTTATTACTTTAGTAACCAAGTTATGACTTTATTGACCTTTTGAATTACCGATTATTCAATTCAAACTAAATAGTTTAATACGTAGTAAAATTTTACAGTGCAATATCCAATTACCCATATTGGATACGAACTTTCAATTTTAAAATTAACTCATCATCCAACAATTTTAAAAATACTCAATTTTTATTTTTATCTTCTTGACTTTTTTATTCCCTTTTTTCATCTTCGTATTCTTATCTTCATTTATTTTGCTTTCTTAATTTTTCCTTTTTTTGTTCTTTCTGTTTATTATTTCATGAAAAAATGTCACTAATATTACCCTGGAAAAGTGATGAACAAAATCTTTCGGTTTATTATTTCATGAAAAATGTCACTAATATTACCCCTGGAAAAGTGATGAACAAAAATATCACTTGTTAACTTTTAGTGACTATAATTGTGCTCAAGTTTACTATGATATAGTGACTATGATGTAAACGTTGAACACAATTAAAATTACTAAAGGTCACCAAATTACATTTTAGGAAAAAGCTCTTATTTCATTCCCATTTTTATGTATTTTTGCATATTTACCTCCACTTATTGATTTTGTTTTTCCTTTTCTTACCTTGATTCCACCACTAATATATTTTCCTCTTTTCTAAAAAATTCAAAGAAAAAATTAAATAAGTAATCCGGAAAATATTATAAAAAGAGTCTACAATGATTAGGAATACTTAAAAAGGAAGGAAAATAAAAAATAGAGAAGAAAAAAGGAAAAACTATCAGAAAAAATTATACAAAAAACTCCTTTTGTAAATGGATAAAGGAAAACACAAACAAGGTAACTAAATGAAAATAAAAAAGAAAAAAAAGTAATAAAAGCATTGTGATGATAAAGAAAAAGAGTGAAATCTTTTAATTAGAAAAAAGAAAATTGATACTACCTCCGTCCTGGAATTATCTCCTTATTTGACTGGGCACATGTTTTAAGATAGTGGGAAATGTGTTGTGGAGAGTTGTGCAGAGGAAAGAGAAATGTGTAAGAATATGTAAAAATGATTGTGAATCACAAATTTTTTGCCAAAAAGGGAAAGAGGAGATAAATTTGGGACGGATCGAAAAAGAAAGTATGAAGATAATTTCGGGACGGATGAAGTACATAATATGTGAGAATTGAGATCGCTTGTAGAAGATTTGTGAAATGTGGATTTATGATTTAATGTTTTGCAAAACAAATCCGAAATAGCAGGCCGATCATCAACCGATAAGAGACCGATGAAAGAAGATAGATGCAAAATTGGAATTATTATTGAATTACAGTTGAGTGGGACTATTATAATAAAATCGCTAAAACATAGAATTAATATGGAGTGATTTTCATTTTTCCTTCTAAGGTTCAAATAAAAAGTGTAATCCAAATTAAATGGCAGTCAAAACATCAAAAATCTGTCAAGAAAATTAATGGAGGGCATTAAGCAAATGATATCTACTTAAGAGTTAAGAGTACTCTCTAAGTCCGTTTGCAAACAAGTCCGTCCGCATCCCAAATTATTTACAATTCACACAATCATTTCCCTCTACCTGAATTGAACCGCGCATGACTTTGAATTTGTCGGCTGCAATGGCGAGCAAGGTGCTACCCCCCATCGATCGGCCTACTGTGATGGTAACGAATGATGATGGAATGGACGCTCCAGGCTTGAGAGCTCTTGTTCGTGTCCTTATATCTACCAATCGGTTCAACGTCCTTGTTTGCGCTCCTGACTCGTACATTCATACTCTCCTTCTATTACGCGTGTGTATCATAAATGCATTTTTTAATCTATAAAGTCTTGGCTTTGATTCCGTGCTGATATTTTAACATATTGGCGTTGACACTTGACAAGTTTCCGCTGTTCTTTTTTTTTATCATTGCTTGTAATTAATGGGAGAAAAGGATCGCCAGAGCATAGGGAATAAGGGGTATTTGTTATGATTAAAAGCAAATTATTTTCATCCATTTACTTTTCATCATAACATATGATAGGGTCATAGGGACGGGAAAGTGGATTTCCATGGAAAAGGGATTAAACTTCAAGGTAAGTACCAAATGCCTCCTTAGTTAAACATAACAAGAAAAAGTCAATTATTCATTTATTCCTATTACCAAGCTGGTGGGACTTTCGGAGGTTGAACCATCATAAAATCCCCAGACACCTAAAAGTCCAGGGGTATGACCTATCAGGTGAGAGAAAGAGGAATATGAAGTAGATTAGTATTTAGATGAGTGACCTCACATTCCTCAGGCTTGACCGCTTGAGCTTGGCACTTATAATAGGATCAAAACGGCTAAATCATAAGGGGTAATTGATCAGAAGTCATTAGATGTTGAACTTTAAATTATAAATGCCATAGTAAGTATGCCATTGTCTTGGTGTTTGAGACCTTTGTGC